ACCCCAGTCCATGGACAACGAGGAGCGAGAGCCAGGAATTAATTACTGGATGAGTAATTTGAGAGAAATCAATCAGAGGAGCTGGTTCTGTAATTCCTGCTCGTGCCTCCCCATCAATGCCAATGGGATAATGGGCAGGGAGAGGTGGATTCCTCACTCCTTGTTATTTTAAGAGAACCCAGAAAAAAAACATCAGGAGCTCTTATTTCCACAGTTATTTTCCTTAATTTTGTCTGAGGCCTCCCGAGCAGGAATTGGGATTAAAAGCTGCAAATTCCCAAAGTTCTCCCCAGCCCTGTGGCAACACCCAACCTCAGCTGGGAAATGGCCCTGCCAGTTCTCTGAGCCCTTTGGAGTTGGACGAGCAGCCCAAAAATCTGCGCAGACAGACGGACGGACAAAGCCCCGACACATCCCTGGGATAACGGGGCCGCTCCCAAGGACACGGCCCGGCTCGGAGCTCCCCTCCCCAAACCCCTGGAGCACCAATCCCTCCTCTCCCGGGGGGTGTGACCCACTCCGGGGGCCCGTCTCCAAACCTGTCTCCAAACCTCCCTCCCGATTCCAGGTGGGATTGCCCCGGGAATTGGAGGCGGGAGCGCGACACAATTAGAGCAGCCTCTCCTTCCCACGGAAACCAGGACTTTTCCCCAGGTGGCAACAACTCAAGGAAACAGAAAAGTCCTCCAGAGCAGCCCCACTTAAATCCCCCCATTACAGCTGTGACCGTCCTAGAACTGGGAAAAGCCTCTCAAATCCACGGATCCCCACCTGGATCCCCCTTTATTGTTCCCATTGTGCCCGAGGCGCCGTGAAGCGACTCCGACGCTCAGCCTGGGGACACTTCCCACCTCCAGACCCCCCAGTCCCACCCCAGCAGGGAATCCACCAGACCCGGGTGGGATCCCAACCCCAGCACCACGGAGGGAACTGCTCAGCTCCCACCAACTCACACGGAACCGGCCTGGAACAGCAAATCCCCTCGGTCTGAGCCGTCCCTCTGCCGCAGGGATTCCTTCCCGGGACATCCCGGGGCAGGTTGGACCCTCTGAGCCAGGAAGACCCCTCGGGAGCGGTGGAATTCCTCCCGGAACACCTCCCAGACACCACCCCAGCCCTGTCAGTGCCGAGCTCTGGCTCCTGTCTCTGCGCTGATCCGCTGCCAGGCAGCTCATCCTGGCTCTGGAAGCACCAGGAAAATGTTTCTGGGACAAACACCTCCAAGCCCCCTCGGGTAGGAACCAGTAACCACCCGAAATTCCCAGTTTCCCTTCCCAAGCCCTGCTTCCGTTCAGCTGCAGTTTATTTTCCGACGTTGAGGACGTTTTTTCCACCTTTGCTGCTCCAAAACCCCAAAGGTTGTGTCAGTGGAAATGTTCCGGAGCCCATGGAAAGCCCCATCCCACCAGCATTCCCAGAGAAATGCCAAGGAAGCGGCTCCGCCAGGGCAGGGAAAAGGGAAAATAAAGTGCTGGGAGAGGTTTTATCCATGATCAAACAGCTCCCATTGTTCCCAAATTCTGAGGGATTTTACTAAATAAAATGGAACAGTGGATACAGGGGGACAGTCCCCTCTGACATTCCCAGGAAAGGTGCCCCGGGGAATTCCGAGGTTGCTGTTTTAGGGATGGGGCAGAGCCCCCCCCGACCATTCCCGGTCTCTCCCACGGCTCAGCCTCCCCACGGAGCCTTAAACCCCAGGACAGGCCTGACAAGGAATCCCAGAATTATTTTGGCTGGGAAAGATCTCCAGGATCACCCAATCCAAGTCCCCCCCCCCCCCCCGACCCTGGTTATGGGCTGGGATCCTCTCCCACAAATCCCCCGCATTCCCAGGGCCTTTTTCCTGGAACCAGGCACACACGGCTGCGAATTCCACCCTTTTTGTGGCTAAAGCAGGGAATGAAATTCCAGACAAATCCCAGCCCGGGGGTGGCCACGGGGCCCAGCTGCGGGCGGGGACTCCAGGCACTGCTTCCCATGGGAGCAGGGATGTTATTTTTCCCTAATACTCCCTGTTTGGAGAAGCTCCTCCCCGCCGGAGCAGCTCTGGCCGGACATCGGCCCTTCCCGGAGAAACCATCCCAAAACGGGGAACAACACGAAATTCCTCACTTTCGGCACACTCCCAGCATCCTGCAGCTCCAGGGAAGTTCGGATTCCGAGCCAACCCGGGGGGATGTTTTCTCCCCGTGCCTTTGTCTGGGATCCAACCCCGGGGGCACCGCGCAGTAAATCACCCCGGGAGGGCTGGAAAACCATTCCAGGGGAGCCGGGGAGGGGGGAGAAGCTCCGGGACAGACAGACAGACAGGACGGAGATCCGGCCTCACTCCCGGCTCCTCCGACGGGGTTTGAACTGGAGCTGATCCGCCGGGAGCCCAGAAACGAACGCCCTGCTGGGAGCTCCCTCCTCGCTCCCGTCCCGTCCGTGCCCCGGGATAACCCCGCCGTTCCCTTGGGATCGCCATTCCCCCGGGATCGGGAGCCGCTGGCACCTTCCCCGGGGCTCCCTGGGCTCAGGTTTCCCGGAGTCCTTGGAAGCAAAAGCCCAAGATGAGGCTAAAAATCCCTTTTCCTGGCTCTGCCGGGACGTGGCTCGGCCTTCCCGGGGGGACACCGGGACACCCCTGGACCCCCCCGTCCCCTCCAAGGATCCAGAGGGTCCCACGGCGAAGAGGTTTCGCCTCAGGAGCTTTCCCAGGAGCCTCCTCCGGGAATTCCCCAGAGCTTTCCCAGGAGCCTCCTCCGGGAATCCCCCCGGAGCTCCGGGCAAGGGTGGGAATGGACATGGAATAATTTAGGGGTCGGCACAGTGGGAGGGTCCCAGCGGGAATAGGGTCGGGAGCACGGGGATGGGGGGGGTTTATCCCATCCGGAGCCACGTGCTGCCCATCCCGGTGGATTCCAGAGCCTCCCTGGATTCCCCCCTGCCTGGGGGGATCAGTAAGGGGGGAAGGGGGGTCAAATCCCAGCGTCCCGTGCCAGGGACAGGGAGGAGACTCCGGCATTCCCGGGCTGGAATTTCCCCGGGCTGGAGGGGAAAACTCTGCCCGGGAAAAGCAGCCCCGGAGCCCCCCGGGCAGGTGCGTCCGGGGGGGCAACAGGGGCTCCCTCAAACCCCCAGAGCCTCCTATGAGCCCCCCCCGCCCAAAATCCCATCTCCCAAAAAATGAGGGCAGGAGGAAGGGAGGGAAACGGGGGGGAACGATCCCGGGGACGGAGCAGGAAAAGCCCAGGAATTGCGGTGGGGGCTCCGCTGTTCCCCCGGGCAGGGCGGGACCCCCCCAGGACAGGGCGAGACCCCCCCCAGGACAGGGCGAGACCCCCCCAGGGCACGCTGGGACGTCCCCGGGGGAGCCCCGTTATTCCCACAAATACCTCTCCATGGATCGCTCGGGGGGGGTCCCACCGGGGGGTCCCACCCCCACAGAGGGGGGTGTTTGAGGGGGACACACCCCCCCCTCAAAACGGGGGGGCTCAGAGGGGATTTCGGGGCGCAGCCGCCCCCCCCGCGCGGTGTCACAGCCCCCAAATCCTCCCGGTTCCCCTCCCTTCCCGCCCCCCCGGCACAGACCCCGCTCAGCACCCGACCCCCCCAACCACCCCCCCCAAACCGACCCCTGACACCCCCCGGGGGGACACGGACCCCCAAAACAGCCCCCCAAAGAAACTCCTGACACCCGCCGGGGGGGGACACGGACCCCTCCCCAGATCAGCCCCCCCCAACACACCCCCGCGGACGGACAGACACCGCGCCCCCGACCCACCGCCCGCAAAGAGCCCCCCGCCCCCCAGCCCAGCCCCCCCCGCGTCCCGTCCCGTCCCGTTCTCACCGGCGGGGTGGGGGCGGGCTCGGGAGGCCCCCCCGGCCCGGCCCGGCCCTGGGGGGCTCAGGGGGGTCCGGGAGCGGCGGCGGCGGCGGCTCCACCTGAGGAGGCCCCGGGCCCCCCCCCCCCGAGCCACTTCCGGCCCCGCCAGCCCGCGCCGCCGAGCGCCGAGCGCATCGAGCGGGGCCGCGGGGGGGGCAGGCGCGGGGGCTCAGCCGAGCGCCGAGAGCATCGATGGGGGAATTGGGAGGGAGGGGAGGGACGAGCGAGGATCGATGGCCCGTGATCGATCAGCGGGGGCCGATAGCCGGCGATCGGTAACCAAGGATCGATGGCCGGTGATGCATAAGCGAGGGCTGATAGCCGGTGATCGATAACCAGGAATTGATAGGCGGTGATCGATAACCAAGGGTCGATATCGGGGCTCGTTTACTGAGAACCAATAGCCAATAGCTGGTGATCAATACCGAGCACAGATGGCCGACAGGGCAGGGACGGGCTGGGAGGTATCAGGGGGTCCCCAGGGCAGGAAGGGCCGGGGGGGCCTTGGGCTCAGGGGTTATTTAGTATTGGGGGTTATTTGGGGTTTGGGGTCCCATGGGGTCAAGGGTTATTTAGGGTTGGGGGTCCCATGGGGCTGCAGGTTATTTAGGATCGGGGCTCTAAGAGGGTCAGGGGGTCCCATAGTGTTCATGGGGTCTTATAAGGTCACAGGGTCCCATGGGGTCAGGAGCCTATTTAAGGTCAGGGGGTACCACAAGGTCACAGTGTCCTGTAGGATCAAGGGGTCCCATAGGATCAAGGGGTTATTTAAGGTCAGAGGTTATACAGGGTCACAGGGCTCTATAGGATCAGGGGGTCCCATACAGTCAGGGGGTTCCAGAGGGTCACAGGGTCCTATAAGGCCACAGTGCCCCATAGGAGCAAGGGGTCCCTTGGGTCAGGGGTTTATTTAAGGTCAGGGGGTCCCACGGCATCAGAGGGTCCCACAGGATCAAGGGCTCCCACCCAGTCAGGGGGTCCCACGGGGTCCCAAGGTCACCTGTGCACAGGGGGGTCCCTTGGCAGCCACTCTGAGGGGTCCAGGGGGCTCTGTGAGGTCCCCAAACCCACCCCCCCTCCCGTCCCCATCCCGCTGTGCCCTCGCTGCCCCAGGAAACAGCCAACTCCATAAAACCTCCCGAATCTTTATGGAGCCGCTTTCACGTGCCGGGGGCCATAAAACCCGGCGACCTTGGAGCCGCGTCCCCGCGTCCCACGCGCCGGGGCCGCCCAGGGGCTCAGCGGGTGACGGAGACGCGGACGCGGTGCCAGGCGTTGCTCAGGACCCCGCGCAGGTTCCAGATGGGCCCCACGGTGTCGGGCTGCACGTTGTAACTGGCGTCCACGGCCTTGCACACGATCTCCAGCTCCGCGCCCGCCGCCACGGGCGCCCGCAGCTCCCACAGCACCCAGGCCCAGGCCCGGCCCGGCGCCGGCCGCTCCCCCGCCAGCTCGGCCGCCCGCCACGTGCGCCCGCCGTCCAGCGACACGTCCACCCGCACCACCCGGCGCCCGCCGCCGCTCCACGCGTAGCCCTTGACCGCCAGCTCGCCCGGCGGCACCGCCGCGCCCGGCCGCGGCTGCGTGATGGCCGACTGCACCGGCAGCTCCTGGATGGCTGGCGCCGTCCGGTAATCCACCGTGTCCCAGTCCACCGACGGGCAGAAGCCCTTGTAGTCGTTCTGCTGCCAGTGGCTGGGGCTCTCGGCCGGGCTCACGGCCACGCGCCGCAGCCACTTGACGCTGCGGGCGCCCACCACGCCGGGCACCACCACGCGCACGGGGAAGCCGTGGTCGCGCGGCAGCTCCTCGCCGTTCATCTCATAGGCCAGGAGCACATCGGCGTCGGGGCTGACGGCGCGTCCGTAGGGGATGGAGGCTCCGTAGGGAGCCCCCCCCACGTCCTCGTCCAGCCCCTCGAAGCAGACGTGCCACTCGCCGTCGCGGCGCTCGCCGAAGCCGGCGTGGAGCAGCACGTCCCGCAGGCGGGCGCCGCCCCAGCGCGCGGTGCTGATGGCCCCGATGTCCCAGGGCAGCCCCTTGACGGGGCGCACACGGCTCATCTCGGCGCGGCGGTTCCCGGCGCACTGGAGCGTCGCCGTCACCTCGTGCTTCGGGAAGCGGCTCCGCAGCTCCGGCAGCGACAGCGACAGCGCGCGGCCCCCCGGGCCCTCCACCCGCAGCCGGTACGAGCCGGGGTCCACGGCGGGCACGGGCAGGTGGTTGCGGGTGAAGAAGAGCTCGTTGGGCGTCAGGAAGCTCTCGGTCAAGAGCTCCGCCGGCGGCTCCGCGTTGAACGGCTTCAGGCTGTTGACGCGCAGCCCCGGGTGCCGGGGGGGGTCCCCGGCGAAGGGGTCCTGGGCGGCGTCGGGGCTCGGTGGGGCCTCCTCGGGGCTCAGCTCGCCCACCTTGTACTCCCGCAGCAGCTCCAGCACGTGGGGCTGGCTGTGCACGGCGTAGAGGGCCCAGAAGGGCTCCAGGGCCCCCCCGGCCGCCAGCAGCACCTTGTCGGCCCCCCCCGGGTGCAGCTCCACAAAGTCGGTGACATCGAAGACCTCGGTGCCGTGGGTCACCCACACCCGGTCCCCAGGGCTGCGGTGCCGCCGCACCTCCTCCCGTGTGTACAGGGGGTACCGGGGGGCCGGGGTGGCCTTGGCTGCCTGGGCGTTCTGCGGGACCCCGGCCCCGTCAGGGGGGGGACGCTGCGCCCGGGGACCCTTCCCCGGGGCTCCCCCCCCCGCCCAGGACTTTGGGGTGTCCCCCCAAACTCAGGCCCTTGCTGAGGTGACCCACAGTTGGGAGGGGAAGGGGCACCCCCTCCCCAGCTAAACTCGCTGTGCCCGTTCCAGAGAAGAACCGGGGGGGTCCCAGAGGATCCGGATTCTCCCCCCCATCCCCCGGTACTGTATCCCCCAGACCCCGCTGGCTCGGTGCCGTTCCCCCCACCCCGGGATCCACCCCTCGCCCCGGTGCCACTCCTTTCCCCCGCGATCCACCCCCGGCACCACCCCCTTCCCCCGGGATCCACCCCTCCGGTTCTCCATCCCCGGGACCTCGCTGTCCCGGTGTCACCCCTTTCCCAGGATCCAGTGCCCCCCCTTCCCCGGGTGCCACCTCCTTTTTCGGGATCCCCCCCCCCCCCTCCGTGGGCGCGGACGGCCCCGCGCCCCAGCAGCGCCGCCACCCCCGGGGCCCCCCCCCGGCGTCCCCCCCCGGCCGCGGCACCGGCGGCGAACCGGGAG